TAACACTCTCTAAAATTGGATGACTAGAACACAGACCAACCTGCATCAGTTAAAACATGACTTAAAGTTGGGGCTTTTTATTCTTGGAAATGATAGGTCATTTTTGAACAGCAGAAATAAAGACATTCTTGAGAAAAGGCAGGTTTTATTGTGCTATATTTGTTCTACATAATGTCAACCACAAATGTAGAAACTTTCAGACCTCTAGCTATAACAGCTCCAGAGATGTGGGGATTGGAACTTTTGGTGTCAGCTTGGAGCTGCGTGCAATGGTGGTAAAAAGCTGGTAAAAAGTTTAACGGTGGAATTATATGCATTCTGAATTATTACCCCCACTTAAGGTCAACCAGGTGTCCGGCGACCTGGTGGTTCTTAAGACCTTCACCTACAATGTTTTTCTCTTACTAGGAGTAGAAAAATATTTTTAAGGAGTTCAGTTGTTTTTCCATTAAGATGTTTTTGAGTTCCTCATGTTAAGAATCCATTGTTTTTTTTTAGATCCATCGCATTTTCCCTCCTAAAAATAAAGCTTGTAGCTGCTGTTTGACCTAATGCTTATTTTTTTACATGCCTTTAACCAGAACACAGAGAGAAAGGAAATGGATGGGGACCTCTGGAGGTTCAGAATACCTATTCCACATTGGAGCCCAGTCCACCCTTCAGACCCATCAGCAGAATCACATACTTCTCCAATTTGACAGCTGCACACTTATCTGCACTGCAGACCATAGTATCCATTTGTAAAGTCACTAAAGCTATTGGTATGTTCAGTCCTCAAACACTCACATGGAGCACAGGGCTAAAAGCCATCATGTTTATTTAACCAACAGTTCATTAAGGAGACAGTACACTAGCCTAATTTGGCGCTGATATAAAAGAAAAATCATGTTTCTTTGGGTAATTTAGTGTCCGGAAAACAATAAGTAAGACATCTTTGATTCTCCTGTTTATTTATTTTCATGCTTGCCAAATTCAGTGACACGGAACACAGAGAATGAGCTACTTCTAGGTTTCTGTAAACATTCAACAAGAGCAACTTAAGCGGTGGTACGTTCAAGTACATGCAGGAGGCTAAGGAGGAGAACATTTAGCCCAAGTAGAACTGGAAACCCCCCATCTGCAATCCTGCTGAATTGCTGATAAAAGGAGAGATTAAGAAAACCCAGCTCAGCCTCCTGTTTCCCGGGAATAAAAGCCCTGTGATCATGAGAGGCCGTACTCTGAGGAAATGGAGAATTTGTTCCTTAAATATACAGTGAAAAATGTTGAAAACTACACCCTCATTTTGCTGCTTGTTTGTCGGTCTCTTGTCGGGTCTCTCGTTTCCAAAGAACTCTCATTAAAGCCAATGGTTTCAAATGATGCATGTCCGCCTCAGTGGTGAGGCTCTGTTTACTCATGAGAATAGTAAAAGATAAAAGGCAGAAGAAAAGCCTGGGTTGAAATCGGTGACATGGTTTGACTCAAAGTTAAACAATGAGTTGTCTCTTGTGACTTCATAGAAGGACATATCTTCTTGTCAGTGATCTTTGGTAAACTGCAAATACCCATGTGCCATTTGATATTTTGGAAACTGAACTAACTTTTCTAAACAACTATACATCAGCATATGACTTGATTAATCTAACACATTAATGTTTGAGTTTAAGTTTCCAATGTTGGCATGTTGTCCCAATCATTCCAGGGCCACATATACTATACGCATCTCAGTTACTGGATGGCACATCCCTCCTTCCCCACAGTAACATCGTTTTGCACAATTCTTCCCAAGGTTTTCATTAGCACAACATGCAAAAATTAAAGTTTTTATTAATTTTAAGGGGTTTCCTCTTGTTATCAGCTATTTATAACAAAAGAAAACAAAAAAACACCTGCTGAAACAGAAATTCTTAAAAAAAAAAACATTTATGATTTATATTTTTAGCATGATGATCATTTTAGTGTATATTTCCTTCAGAAGTGCAGTTCGCTCCAATGTAAACAGGTGGACAGTAGCATGTTCTGAAGTCACACAAACCCTTATTGACACAGATGCATCTGGACTTGCAGTTTGGCCCAAATGAAAAAAAGCCCAAAATCCTTGAGGCCAAAAAGAGCAACAAATCACAAATGCCAGGGTGTTTTATTGGGATTTTATACATTAGATCTATTAATTTATTCCATTATGCAACTCTTAGAAGGTTGGTACAAAAATGTTTTTACAGTAGTAATTTTACTATTCAACTAAATGCATGCAGGCATTATCTATTGATCCACAGTTTATGTGTGACAATCTAACATTAAGACACTTATCGGTTGTGCACCCCACAAATTAAAGGAGGCGAATTCCACTAAAGATATATTTTATCTTTACCTAATTGTATATAGGGGATACAATAACCATGTGGAAGAACTTTGGATAAATGGCACTAAAATCTCACCTTTTAAACATAAACTAAAACCCACCATTTCCACCTTTAGAATAGAGGTGGCAGCATTTTGCAGAGAAGATATCTGTCTGACTATTTTTGTGTAATTACTGACAAAAATGTGCCTGAAAGGCAGCTTAAACAGCATACTATCAACTTTTTTTTTCTTTTTTTAAGGATTGTAGCTTCAAATAGTTGCTATATAGTAGTGCATGTTAGACCAGCATTAATATTATTAATATATTAAAAAACAATTTTCATTTCTATGAGTTGTTGTTTTAGTTTCAGTAGGAGAGCGGACAAAGGGTAGGGAAATATATGATATTGGTAAAAATTTATTTTTGACAGTATTGATATAGGCTATCGACACTGGCTCAGATTTTCATATAGAGGTAACCCTGCATCTCTATATTAATTTTTGTATGTGAAATATAGAAATATGTGAAACAATGTAAAGAAAATAAGTGAGCATAATGAAAGAAATGGAAAGAGAAGCTGCCCTGGTATAATGACTTTACAAAAAAAGTATTTGCAAAAACAATGGCTACTTAAGACAAAAAAACAGTAATAGTCTAGTCTTAATTCAATTCAGTTCATTACAGTTTATTATATACCAAATTCAAAACACAAGTCATCTCAAGGCACTTTACAGTTCAACCAGATCATACAGTCAAATTGATTCAAAGTTTTCTATGTAAGGAAAACCAGTTGATTGCATCAACTCATTGACTCAAATACAATCCCTCACACTAAGCATGCTTGTAGCGACAGTGGAGAGGAAAAACTCCCTTTTAACAGGAAGAAAAATCCAGCAGAACCAGGCTCAGTGTGAGCGTCCATCTGCTGAGGCCGACTGGGGTTCAAGGAGACAACATTAGTACAACAATGTTTTTATTTAGGAGAGAAAGTAAGGAGAAATTCTTGTGTGGCTATACATTGGAGGACTAACACACAAACACCTTACATACAGATTCAGAAGTGCTATTTAACGAGCTATAGTAGCAAATTAATGTTTTTACTTCCAAAGATTTTATGCATTACCTTGTGCTAGTCTATCATAAAACATCCCATTAGAATACATGAATATAGTGTGAAAATTGTGTGAAAGTTGATGCATCGCCTGCTTTTCATGTTTCTTATTAACAGGGTTTTAGTAAATAAAAAAAGTAAATAAAATATGAAAATGATTGGATTTGACGTCACATTATTAGTATTGTACTCACTGAGCTCACAACATGGGCCGTAGAAGCTAGATAAGCAGCTTCATTTCCCTGTGACTGGGTCACGATGATCTCGGGGCCCGGAGCATCGGCAAAGATGGCACAGAATGGGATGACACAACCATAAATATCCAGCATGACATCTATGTGAGCAAAACGCCATAGAAGGCCTCTCTTTAAATGCAGATTGGCAATGTCATTGACAATATCATTAGGTTATTTTTAGGCACAGGTGCTTTGTTTCAACTTCGCACTCTACTAGAATCTTACATTTGCATTTAAGATTAATTCAAATAAAAGAAAAGCAACAAGTAAAACACCAGCAGAGTAAACAACCACGTAGTCCAGCTTTGCATAGTTTAGCAGAAAAGACCTTAAGTGTGCACACATTCAGCAGTTTGTGGGAACAAAGACGCGTGCCATTTCCCTTTCCTCCCTCAGATAATTCTGTGAACAGAGCAAGGCATTCAGCACTTGAGTGGTAACAAACCCAACACTCCCAGTAACTTTCCCTGGTGCCCAAACCCGGCCGGACATGCAGGGACATTCTTTCACACACCCTCTGCACGCCTATCTGCATGTATACACTCATCACAATAATGAATGAAGTCCCCTGACAATCCGTCATAGTGACCAAGATGAATCTGTGAACCAAGCATGTTTTTCGGGTGAAACTGCAACACTCGGCTACTCGGTCAGGCAGCAGCAGCAGCAGGCAGCGTGGGGGACAGATAAGAAAGAACTCCAGACTAAAGAGGCAATTACAGCGCTGTCATTATGCATGTCTGCCTTCCAAAAGCCCTTATCCGCCGCCGAGGAGACAAAAACAATGCCTTCTGTTTTACTTGGCAACCGGTGTGTAACATTTATCAGATGTCGAGGGAGTGTGTGAGGAAAGGAGGGGGGTTGAAGGAGCAGTGAGAGTCGTGAAGCTGCTCGTATACAGCCCTACAGGGTATGGTATAAATAATGAAACATTCTCATACAGTCCTGTGATAGTGAGGGTCTCACGTAGAGGTGGAGTGCATTTCCTAGAATGGAGTAAACTGTAAACTTTCCCAGGAGCAGGAGAAAAGAAGGGGAATTTTAATCAGTAAGAAATGGGCAAACTGACAGCTACTCACCTTGCCACTGAAGATAAGTGTATTTTGCTGATGTTGGTGTTTTGTTTTGTTTTTCTGTTCTTAATTTTCTCACATCCAGACCCTGTCAGTCCAGCTGGGCAGCCACTGCTCCCCGTTTCGTGGTGACAGTACACCCCAGCCTGGCACTGACACAACTAGAGACAGGAAGGGCCATAGAACCCAGGAAGGCAGGCTGACCGTCCACAAAGAGGAACCTAATAGGTTCAGCAAAATGTTCTGTTTCACTCAGTCACTTCCAGTCATGTACAAACACACTCATGTTTTTCACACCTGGCTCCTCTCCAGCCTGGCCGACACTCACAGCGACCCGTCACATGGTGGCAACTGGAACTGTGGGTTTAGTAGTACCGTCGCTCGCAGCGCTCCCCAATGAATCCCTTAGAGCAGATTTTAAACAAAAACACAGGCATTTAATCTGAATATATTCAGCTGTTACACAAGAAATGCAAGCAGAGGTTCAGACTTGAGCTGAAAGGCTTTTTTCCATGCTCTTCTCTGCCAAAAAATAGGTTCTAAATTCACCTGACTGACAGCGCTCTTCAATCCAGACAGGTGAACAAAGACATTGTCACATCTCCCTCCATTTAAACATCCTCATGTCCGTGTGCAGTTCTCACCATAGTTTCCTTCTTCACATTCTGTAAGGGTAAAAATGTTTTGGTATAACGTTCATCTCCAAAAATCATGTTGTTATGCATAACAAGAATGTGTTATTGTTTGGATCTGATCACAGACATTTGTTGGAACCCTGTTTCCCAAACTGTCCTGAAGGACTAGCTACAGATTGAGGAAAAGTTTGATAAAACTGTGTACAAAACTTTTTCTGTGTACAAACTTTTATCACCAAAGCAAATTCCTTGTATTTCTAAAATGGTAATTGGTAATAAAGCTATAGCAAAGCTTTGCATACTTCTAAGACTTTATCCCATTTTAGCTTTACAAACAACATGCTGTGCATTTTACTAGTAATAGAGGTGATGAAGCAATAGGAAGAAGGGAAGATTAATACTTATGGAGTGGGAGATGAGTATACTGAAAGCAGAAAACTGCTGCACCATACACAATAAAACCAATATAAGCATTTTATTACTCTCTAGTAATCCTAAATTAAACTTTGTGCCACAAATTTAAAGTTAAAGTCCGATATCGGTAAATAGAGTCCAATATCATCTTATTCTCAGCTAAAGTGAGGCCCTGAAAGCCTTAGAGAACGTTGCTGAGGAACATTATGAAGGTCATGTAACTCACAAGAAAAGGGATGGACTAAGTTGTGGAATAGTTTAATATAAAGTTAAAAAATAGTATATTTAACGTTCAAGATCAAACAGAGAACTAACCTTGGTCATATCAATGATAGAATGAGACCTCACTGGCTATTCCGCTATAGATGGGGTCAGCGCTGCAACACCATAGTAAATCTACTGCAACAAATGATGGTGTCTGTTCAATGTTAAACCTTTTATAAGGACATTACATCAACGTTGGATCAGCCTGTAGTGTGTTTTTCCACTTTAATTTTAATCCAGAACTCAATTGGTTGATAAATTTGATTTCAATTGATAATTTTTGTGTGATTTTTTTGTCAGCACATTCAACGTTGAACAGAATGAGAATAAGACAATTTAAGTCATTCAGATCTAAGCTGTGTTATTTGAGTGTTTCCTATTTTTTTTAAAGTACTGTATAATTTAAAGACAATTGACAATTATATTTTTACAGCACTTCCTGACTTAAAAAAGGTTTATCTATTGGATACTGTACAAATTTTTCAAGCTTTCCATACATTTATTGAGCTTTGTTAGTTGAATTGAATTTTAATTTGTAGCAAAAAGCAAGCTGAAAAACATCTAGCAAAATGATTGTAACAAAACATTGAGAGTGCATGCTACCATGTTGAAAATATTTGTACAGATGAGACCAAAATTGAACATCTTTTGCCTATGTTCGCAATAAACTGCAATTTCGGGTGGAAAATTTACACTGCACATATTCCTGAATACATCATCACAACTCGAAAAATATATATAGTGGCAGCATTATGCTGTGGTGTTGAAGAAGAAAAGGAAAACATTTTACTCTTATGATTCCCTGCGCCTGCAATGGACTGGTGACCTGTCCAGGGTGTACCTTGCCTCTCTCTCGTAGACAGCTGGAGATAGGAACCAGTACCCCTCGCGACCCCACTTGGGATTAAGCGTGTCAGAAGATGGATGGATGGATGGATGGATGGATGGATGGATGGATGGATGGATGGATGGATGGATGGATGGATGGATGGATGGATGGATGGATGGATGG